CCGGGGGGGACCCCGGGGGCCCCCCCCCCGCCCCGGCCCTCGCGCGCGCTGCCGATACTTACGGATGCCGCAGCTCTTCTGTTGTAATCCCACTGGCGCGACGACGTCGGCTTGACGGCCGCGGAGCACGTCACGAAAGCGGTGATGTACAGAACGGTGGCCGTCGCGTTGAAGATCACTAGCTGGGGAAGGCAAGGAAAAGACTATGAGGCCCCAGCTCCATGGAGTATCGATGTCGTGCAAAAAATAAGGCCAGCGTTGTTGGCATCCCCATCTGTCAAGTTTCTAAGCAACTAAGGGGCAGAATGAAACAAGGTCACGGGCAGAGCACAGAGGACTCTCTTGCATCCAGTTTGAGAGGAGTGAGTCCTAAGACCTGGTCTCCTCAAGGCGTTTCCCACAGGACTGTCTCCTAGCTGAGATTCCCCCACTTTTTTTCTCCTGTAGAGTGCTTACCACGAGGGACCAGGGGATGATGTGGAATTTCAAGTGAAGCTGCAGCAGGTAGATCACCAAGAAAATGACCGTCGTTATCCAGAAGAAGATGGCCACGAACATGACCCAGCCATAGGCTGCGTGGAGGTAGTACGTCGTGTCAGCAATAAGAGCCCACACCAATAAGCCAAGCAGCTGCAGGGTAGAAAGGGGAAAGTGTTCAGGACTGTGGTTGCCAGAAATGAAAAAAAATGAAAAAAACGTGCCTTTCCTGACATGCTTCGGTTAGGTCTGGTTTGTCCCGGCTGGGTTTAAACATCCCATATAAAGGGCGTTAAGGGCTTGTCTTTCACAACTAAGCAAGTTTAATTACATAGCAACTGGGCGTTAACGTGCCTGCAAGCTACCTCCAGAGGAACCAGGAAAAATGAATGAGACAAGTCCCTTATTTCCAGCACGCAATGAACAAAAGTTATCAGAGAAACAATTCCTACCCTTGTTCAAGTGTCATTAAAAAAAAAAAGAAGATTTTTGGAGTATCTCTATGGGGTGAAAGATGCAGCTGTTCCTTCACAGTGCCATGACCATCCCCTGTCCCCTGGCACCCTTGGGTGCTGCTGCCTGGCCCTGCAGCTGCCCTCCTGGTGCATCACCGCAGAGAAGCAGCACCCCAAACCTGGACCTCAACCTCTTCCAGCACAGGATCCTCTCCTTAATTCCTGTGTTCCCTCTCTTTCAGGAAGGTGGAAACATGACTGATTAACACGTCCTCCGAGGGCTGCGTGTGCCCTTGATGCGTGGACTCTGGACAGGCCCTTGGCAAACAGGGCGCTGCCTGGGCTGCGGGCGCCTGCTTTGCAGCTCGTCCTGGAAGGTGGCGCAGGCGACACAAGGGACTTTGTGTGACGCCACGGTGCCCGGTGGCCGCCGCCACCGCACTCGGGACAATGCCGCCTTTTCTTCCCTCACATCCATCGCGAACGCTTGTTTGCAACGTTGGGAGAAACGGGGATGGAGGAGAAAAAAAAAAACAAACCTAGCAAGGGTGCTGGTGAGCAGCCCTGCTACTGGCCCTGCCACCTGCTCGGGAAGGAGTGGGGACGGTGCAAGGACATCGCAGGATGGGCTGCATGGACAGTGTTGGCTCCGTCACCATTTCCTGACGCATCCAAGACATCCCTGCATTGCAATCGCCTTCCCTGAGCCTCGAGCAGGGACCCTGCACTTCTCGCCTTCCCCAGGGGGCGGGTTGCACCTGTCGCTAATGAATGACTCCCCTCATCCTTACACCCCCTCGCGCCCCCGGGGTCGCG